AAATGTCATATTAGAAACACGAGTCACCAACCATACTGAAACATGGAGAAAGAGAGAGCCCATCCTGGTAGCAATTGCTGGAACCATCTCACACAGCCACCCACTTTCCATCAGGAGAGGACAACTAGGTGTATCAGGTTCAAATCCAGCTACACGGCACATATCCCCATGGCCTTGGAAGTGGGGGGTTTCATTTGCCTCTGACAGAAATGAGAAAACCTGACATATTGTCATGGCTTAAGCCCAGCCAGTAACAAAGCACCATGAAGCCGCTCACTCACTCCTCCCCCATGGCCACAGCAGGATGAGGGGGAGAAAATATAAAGAAAGGCTCGTGGGTCGAGACAAGGACAAGGAGGGATCACTCACCACTTATGGTCACAGGCAGAAGACAGGTTCAATTTGGGGAAGAAACAAAATCAATTTAATTTACTACCAATCAAATCAAAACAAGGATACTGAGAAGTAAAACCAAATATCAAAACACCTTCCCCCCACCCCTCCCTCCTTCCCAGCTCAACCCCACTCCCGGTTTTCTCTCCCTCCTCCCCCCGGCGGCACAGGGGGACGGGGAATGGGGGTTGGGGTCAGTTCCTCACCCCTTGTCTCTGCCGCTCCTTCCTCCTCAGGGGGAGGACTCCTTACTCGGCCCCTGCTCCACCATGGGGTCCCTCCCATGGGCTGCAGTTCCTCACAAACCTCCCTGGTGTGGGTCCCTTCCACGGGCTGCAGTCCTCCAGGCACAGCCTGCTCCAGCGCGGGCTTCCCCCTGGAGTCCCGGCCATCTTGGGGGGCATCCGTCCCCCTGCTCCGGCATGGGCTCCTCTCTCCCCGGGCTGCAGGTGGGCATCTGCTCCCCCGCTCCCCTCCGTGGGCTGGGGGGGGACAGCCTGCCGTCTGGTCTCCCCACGGGCTGCAGGGGCATCCCCTCCTCCCCCGCTCCTCCTCCCCTCCTTCCTCACTCCCCTCGGGATCTGCACAGGGGTTCCTCTCCCATTCCGATCCCCTCACTCACTGCAGGTTTTTTCCCCTTCTGAACTCTGTTCTCCCAGAGGCTCTACCGCCGTCACTGACGGGCGCGGCCTGGGCCAGCGGCGGGTCCGACTCGGAGCCGGGGAAGCTTCTGGCAGCTTCTCACAGGAGCCGGCCCTGCAGCCCCTGCCCCCCTACCAAAACCCCAACACACAAACCCAAAACATGCATGGCTTCATCTGATATTCTGGCAACATTGCTTATGTGGTTTGCTGTGGCTGTGAAACCCCAGCAAATATTGCTATTTTGGCCAACAAAGATAAATACTGGATTTTCTCAACTCCACAGAATTTAACTTTTTCTATGAAAAACTCCTGTATTAATCCTACCACAAATAACCAAAGAACTTAGTTTTAGAGAGGTAATTTTTGCTTTTGTTTGTGAATGTCAGGAAGCATATCTTTCCTTCCCCAATGCAATCAAACAAATGTATTTTGAGTTTAAAATGCTTCCTGTTCTATCCTGGGTAAGAATCTGATCTGATTGGAATTTTCTGGCACTTGTAAAATGTGAAGAATGAGTAATCTTCAGTTTCTGAGGGTATCAGCATTACCCTTAGATGACAACATTCTCAGTTCCTCACCATAAACCCAGTATTCCTGAAAGTAACCAACTTTCTGTATCTCATTGAATACAATTGTGGACACAACTTTATCGTACAATTGAGTTCACATTAATTAGAATAGAGTTTTGGTGTGTCAAATCTATCAGTGCTGAAGGCTGATACCCATGTGTCAGTCTCCAACGTGAAAACCATCAATACTGATGCTCTAATTTTATTAATTTCTACCTCTAGATGTTTCTGGCATTGTTTAGTTTTAATATACAAAAACCTGGCAGTACATTCAACTTGAACTTGGCAAGGTAGTTAATGACATATTTGAAAGACCAGTCCATGGATTTAATTTTTTACTGTATGATATCCTTTATTTCCTTTTAAAAATAGTAAGAAAGTACATGGTCCTACTCCTTCCCAAGAAGTTTCTCTGTGCTTTGTAGCCTTCAGTTTCAACTCACTCATACCCAGATCTATGCAGACCTATTGGATCTACCCTGTGTGTTTGATTTGCCTGTGTTTCAGAAAGAGGAAAACCATCTGCTCTTGCTAGGAGTCTGATTTTGTGTAGAACCCAAGTTCTATGGCAGAACAAACTGTAACATGAAGTATTATCAGTATTTTAAAAAGTTGCCTCTCTTTCAAGGGCAACCTCAATCACCTTCAAATTCTTTTGCTGTTTGATATCCTTCCATCCTATTCATAGACAGATAAGATTTGTTTATATATTTATATCAATGAGGAAAGATATAATAGTTGAAACCAGCAATGACAAAATATTCCTTGGGACGTCAACCTAAGCCTTTTGTTTGGTTTTTTTTTTTTTTTACATTTATTTTTGTTGAACTGGTCCTAGGACCAATTGTAAAGAGGCAGTGAGTGTGTCCAAAACTGGTGTTTACTTAAAAAGAACATTAAGATATGAGATGCAGCTCATCAGCTGGTCACACTAAGACCAGGTAATTAAGTTCAGCCCAATAATTCTGCTTAAACCAATGAACCTTCTCTAGAAGAGAATCCAGCCCATGGAGAGTAAAATTAAACACCAACCTTTTCATACTCCCTCTCTGCAAAAGTACTAAAACATACACACACACTTATGTCAAAACCAGTATTTCAGACAGCAAGATAAACATGAGTTCTGCTTGTGTTCTAGGAATAGCTTAGTTATCTTTGGGTACAATATCTCTGGTCCTAACATGAATTTGAAGTTTAAGTCTTCTTAATTAAACCACTTTTTCCAATATTATACTTGCACTATTTTCTCAACATAAAATTGTGCAAAAATCTAGGGAAAAAAATTATAAAGCTTACATTTCAAAGTATAAAGCAAAAAAATTCCCCCACATATCTGCAAAGCCACCACTGAAGCAGTGTGCTCTGTGACAAATACACTAAGATGACAAGACTAAATTATCAGACTTCTTTATATCCCCACAAGGAATGAAGTGCAAATTTTAAACTGTAAGTTACAGGATGTCCTCATTTCTCTGACTGGCAGAACTACTGAGCATTACTACCTCTCCTAAAACTGTAGGAAATAAGAAGCCTCTGGGATCTTTTAGACAAGCATGCAATTGTGCGGTTTTAGTTCAGCTCAGCAGTGTCACGTAACAGCCCTCGCACGCTTACAAGGAGCACGGCCAGCACTCAACCTACACGCGACCAGCTGGTGAGGCGTTTGGTCACGGCTCCCATGCTGCAGCCCCAGCACACGGCCAGCAGCCAGGACTGTGGTGGCACTGGGGCTGCTGGGTGGAAGCCGCAAGCCAGGGCCAGCACCACTGCACGGCGGCACGGTGGGACCCCAGGGAGTCATCGTTATCTCCTGCCAGCAGCCACGCAGAGCACCCTGTCCTCGCAGCTCCCCGATGTACTGGTATTCGCCTTGTACTGGTATGTGCCTACTGGCTCTTAGTCATCAGAATAGTTTGGTACGCAGCTTCCAGTGTCAGCCATCCCTGCTTCTCAGCATGCTTGTATGAGGGATGCTCTAATTCAAGTGAATATCAATCTTTGCATGAACACGCAGGGGAGCAGGCTCCCATGCAGACTGCTTCCCATTCTCTCCATATAAAAAGTTGAAGAGAGACCAACAACAAGAGGATTTAGCAGTGGGGAAAAGCAGATCAAGAGGATTCTGCACTAGAATTGGTGATGCTTCTTGTTTAATAAATACTTGTCTTGAGAGTTTTTAAAAGGAGTAACCCTTACAAAATAAAAGCAGAACAATACCAGAGAGAAAAGCACGAGAAGAAACGAACAGATGCTGTGAAAGCACAAAAGCAGTGTTTTACTGTTTTGCAGACTGTAATTAAAAGGTTTATTGAGATAATAATAATGACAACGAAAGGCCTTTCTTTCCCCTGAAAAAGGAGGAGAGGGGAAAAAAAAACCCTGTCAAACACCCTCCTCTGAACTCTCAAAGAACCACCAACCTAAATGAAACATTTGACTTTCATTTCCAACAGGAAACTGAAGCGATGAATACATTATGACTTAAGCTCTCCTGCTCATAGACGCAAACAAATTCCATTCTTCCCAAGGAGGAGAAGAAAAGCATGTATCCTTTTAGACAAGAGCTAACAATACTTAATAGCTTGATGATATCAACAGGCTGATTCACAGACTTGTGAATTCATTTCAGTGTGTCACAGAAATGAATTTACCAGACCTATTTGTTATTCTTTACCTTCAGAGTGAATTATTTCACTTTTCGTCAACAGGAAAAAACAAAACCAGGAAACATGTTCACTGAACCATTGGACTTAAAAGTTTACGTGTATTGTGCATATGACATGAGAAAAAATGAAAAAGCTTGGGACCCCTAGATTTCTTGCAAGCCTTTCCAAAGATGAAGTAATTCCATCTGTGGTTATAAAGACAATGCCAACAATCAAAGTGACTACAGAATAAAGTTCAGCCAAGGAAGGGTGAGACTGGAAGGTGAGAGAGGAAAAAACCAAACAAGCCATGGTAGTACTAACAGTAATTAAAAATGAAGTGATGGAAGACTCTCTCTTTTAAGGCACAACAATCTGTATGCAAAATATTCTTTGTATCGAGTAACAACTGTAATTGAAGTTATATGTCAACTTAGATAGAACAGTGCCCTTATGCAGTGCAGGTAATTCTTATGTCCCTGAAGGAGCAAGAAAAGAAGTGTCCGTAAATACACAGATATAGACAGAAACTAAACAGAGCTTTCTTGAGAATTAATACTCTTGCACAATGTGAACTACATGAAATGTCTACATATAAGCTACCTCATTTTACTCTGTGGTAAGAGAAACACTGGTTTATGCTATTCTAACCCTCAAGTATCAATCAGGTAGGCTAAAGGCAGGATCATCTTCATATACATATGTTAACACCATAACAAAAGGATGATTTCAAAACTTTTTTTGCTTACCTTCCTTTTCAGCAAATGATTGACTATCTGCAATGACTTTTGGTATTTCAGGATTGTAACGAGTCCCCTCTGGAAAAATCACTAAATACATCTGTGGGATTAAAAAGAAACAAAAAAGACAAATTCTTATAATGAATGTAAGCCAGTTCCTTTTACAGAAATTATCATCACTTGATAGGTCCATATTGTATTTACTTCACACCATCGATTACTGTAAAGATCCAAAGAAAATCAGAATACTTGAGCTAAAATTTCGTAGCTCTAAGAAACTTACTGTCTGAGGTTCAAAATAACTTTCTTTGAATGTACACCACAAAAAGGTGCCCAGGTAATTTAGGAAGGGAGATAGCATGTATCAACAAAAGTGAGCAAGTCAGGAGCAGCTGACATCAACAAGAGTATTGGTTTTGTTAAGTGGGATAAGAGGAGATTTTGAAAAGAGTCAAATATGTCACAGATGACCTAAATTCTATTTTTTTCTTTAATACTGATCTTGCATCTAGTCTTTCCTTATACTGAAATATACATTTAATTCCATTCATAATCAGAAATACTATTAATTGAAATTACGATAGATCAGCTACCTTATGTGCCTTTATGCATCTCACTGTATTAGATATTAAATGTATTATGAACTTAAGCTCATAGTTTAGCATAATTTGAACTTCAAGTCACATTCCTTTAAGCATGCATGCCTGCAAGGTTAGATTTCCCAAGTAAATTAGTATGCTTGCCTATTCAGCAACAACTGTCTATGGGTTCTCAAATCATTACACAGGTAAAGGCTGCCTAAGTATCTGCATATCTGAGTGTAAAATTATGTACCCAAATAGAAGCAGTGAAATTTGATGAATTTTCCATTTGCTTTTGAAACAGACTAGAGGTTTCCATCTCTCTTTTTTTTTGCATGTCTTACATAATCTCCTACATACAAAGTTGATGCAAAACACCACTTAAGCAGTGAAAATTTCATATTGGGAGCTCATTTGCAGAAGAAAAGTCTATGGCCAAAAATGGTAAGTAGAGTGGAGTTGAGCATGACACATTCACAGTAAAATCATGCCTAATATGCCCAGACTATACTTAATTTGTTGTCCTTGCAGAAATGAATCTCAAGAAATATTTGAGAGATAGTGGATTTACAAAACAGTACAAGGAGGATTATCAGGGAGTACAGGAAGACACTGACAAGTGGGAGTACACATCATGAAAAGATGCAAAGTTAAATAAAAACTTGGAAAGAGACACACAGGAATATAACTTTGTGCTTCTGGCCCATGAAATATCAGTGTGTGCTGGTATTTGCACTTAATGATTGCAGAACAGCTAGAGAAAAGGCTGAATGCAGAAAGACAGGACCCAGCAAGTTAACTCTCCAGAATCACCCCACAGTGAGGAAGGTTGAAAGATGTGCTAAAATGCAGAGGAGGGAAGAAATCTAGGAACTGTACCAACCAGTGAAGCCAGCAGGAGATCAAGAAAGAGGAGAACTGAGTACATAGCCTAGAATCTGGCATGTGGAAAAGGGAAAAAAAGAGAAAAAAAAAAAAAAAAGAATGGCAAAACCAGTGTCAGTAAAGAGAGCTAGAGGAAAGGCTGTACTTGTCATGGCACGTTTGGAAAGGAGGAGAACTGGCAGATTGCAGAGGCAGGTGAAGTCCAAGAATATTCAAGGACCAGCAGAAACCCAAGATGTATACAGATTTGGTGGGGAAAGAACAAAAGAAAATGTGTTTAAGAGGCAAAGTGCTTACTTTTTTATAACATGCCACTAGCATAAGCACAGGCACAAGTAGAGGAATCCTTAGACCCAGCTGCAGTCCACACTTCCCCCAGTCATGTATACATTTCATCTATAAAGTACACTGTTGAGATATTTAAATGACTAAGTAAAACTTTCAGCGTTAGCTGGAAAGGACATAATATTCAAATCCAGATGCATTTTTTTTTCTTTTCATAAATATGCTTATATTCAAATAACATAATTTGGATCCTTAAAATAGCACTTCAAGATGAGGTTACTCCCCGCTCCCCCCCTTCCCCTCATGAAAGAAAGACTGAATGCTCAGCTCCAAAGGGTAATACAGTGGCTTTAACACGTAATCATTGACAGAGTAAAGAAAGTGAAGCACACAAGATAGGAATACTATTCTTGGTATAGAGGTCAGCACTTAAAAGCACGCAACAACATTACCAGTCTTCAAAGCAGATAATCAGCCACCAAAAGCTGATTACACAACAGAGAATAGGATCTACTTACTCCAGTCCTACGTGTGTAATACAATGCAGGGCTTGAAATTATATTTTAATTATTCTTGTAAACCTCTAAAACACAAGCTGCCCAACAGGTGTGCTGACCAGAATCTGAGTATTTGTATACCAACAAGACACAGAAGTGGCCTTTGCTTTAAATTCAGCATATATAAACCTAATATGTAGCTCATTAGGACTACCTTCCCTGAGTAAAATTCATGAATGTAAATAGATGTCCTACTTACACTCATGTAGAGTCCTGCACAAGACAAAGATATTCTGCCAATGCAATTCAGCCTACCAAATCTGCTTGTATGACTGGCTTTTCTCTTCTCCCACCATAGGCAGCAGAAGCTAAATCCTTAAGCACTATTTCCAAAGACTGTAAGAACTACAAATCTGTAAGATTTTAATAACTAAATAAGCTCTCCTGAACTTGGATTAAGAACTGTTGACTTGAAGAAGCATTTTAATTGCCTAGAAATACTAGCTGCAGCTAAGGCAATTTTTTATACAGGATTTTTCATTTAGGGCAATTAGCTACATAAAAGTTAGGCACTTTATCGCAGTGACTGCAAAATACAGCTCTTGTGTTCAAAATGGCATAGAAAATTTTGCATTACCATAGTCCCCGATTCATTGATACACCAATTTTAACCCGAGCAGAGTAGGTCCCTATGTTCAGTTACATGGTACTTTAGTGCCTGTTTCCGTGTAATGGGTAAGTGTCAATACACTCACTATCCCTCATCAATTTGAAAGTTTCAAGGAGTGGATCAGGATTCATTTAGTAGAACCCTACTGATTCTTGTTGGAGCCAGAACACCAGAAAAGAGGCAGGGGTTACCCACAGAGTCCCCCGCATAATGTCGGTGAACTTGCCACAATCCACAGATAAAATGCATGGATGATGATAACTGCTTTCACTTGAATAACAACTCTGTTCACTTCCCCAGTATAGTCAAGGTCTCCCGGGCAAAAAGAAATAGCAATGGCACCAAGAGGGGCCGCGCTTCCCGAGTGGGGAGCAGGGCAGCTGAGGAAGTCCTTGAGATAGATCAGGGTGCCACAGAAGGGGCTGGTATGGGTGGAGCAGGGGAAAGGGGCACGAAGCAATGCAAGTCCCTGGAGTACAGAACAAAGTCAGCCCAGATACCATAAACATACAGCGAGAAGAGGCAATAAAGAGAAGACCTGGCTGAGGACAGGGCTTTGGAGGGTGTCCTGGAGAGAGTAGCTGCCACTCTGTATAAGAACACAGGGCATCGAGAAGTGGTCACTACTGACTGACGGTATCTTGAATTTACTGTGCTGTTCCCAGGTGGGTGACAAAGGGAAAACAAGTATTTTTATTTACAAAGTTCAAAATTATATTAAACAGCGCATTTCCTTAGTTTTACTATTACTGTTATTGCATCCTGACAACTAGACAGATTCATATCTGAATCCATTTAGACCACTAAGATACGCTTCTGGTGACTTAGATGAGAAACATTAACACTCAGATCAATAACTGAAAAAGATATGGTATGAGAAAACATATCTGGTATAATTGGAACGAAATACAAAAGGTGATGTGAGGAAAGCAGGCAAGGACATCCAGGATTTACAAAGAAGTTGTTAGGGATTTGCAAATTAGCAACTACATGACAAAATAATTACATTAAGCCTTATAGCAGTTGTATTAATGTATCCGTCCCCTCCGGGTTTTTACCGTTTGATTGGCACTGCTTCACATAACAAAGATTTATTCTGTGACTGAATGAATGGCAAAACCAAAACACATAGAAACCAGCTAAATATTGGCTGTAGTGGGTGAAATCCCCCATCTCAGAATGCAGATTTCCTACTCTCAATGCACGATAAAAAGAAATGTAAGTTATATTTTCAGTTATCAGACTGAATAGTTTGCAGTTCAGAAGAGTTAACTTTCTAAATCTATTTTTTTCTTGTTTCTTTCTAAAACAAGCAGACTGAGTATATCAAGTGTCAGCTGGATATATTGTTACATTGAGAAATGCATTTATCTTGTTATGGCTTACATTTAAACAACATTAACACAAAAGAGTCCTTCAAACCGCGTGACAGTCTCTGCTCTCACAATAAGACATAAGTTTGCATTTTGTTAACAATCAGCAAGATTTTATGGAATTTTAAACAAAATCACATTGTTTCAAGTGAGTTTTGCCAACAAAATGCCCAATAATGAACCATTTGAGTGTGTACTTCAATGACAGTTTGAGAACTGAAGTAATTTCCAGAATTAAATAAGAAAATTTTTTAGTTCAAAATCCCCAGTAGGAAACACAGGTGCAACAGCATTTCGGTCTAGCATCAGAGTTTTGTACACGTCTAATATTGCTGCACTGTATCCAGGAAGAAAGGTGGACCAACTGTGAACAGCAGGGCAGGAAAAGGGGCTGTTTAAGGCAGGCAGGTAGAAGTTGTTAAGACAAGGCGAGCAAGGAGCATAATGCAGTCCACTGTCCCTACACAAAATGAGGCACACCATCACTAATCCAGTTCCACTGTGACTATATGAGAGGCCAAGAGGCAGCCTTATTTATCCTGTCTGTGTTCCACCACCAATTTATTTAAAAAACAAACAAAAAAAAAGCACTTCAGTAAAACAGTAAAGGGCTTGCTACACTAATGAGAACAGAAGCCTGGTTCTGCCTTCCTACACGTCTTCAGTTTCTTAATGGGAACAGTGATGGCTCCAAGCAGACTGAACATTAATCATTTGGATTCTTTTGTTTAAACTGTATGTGGAGAGAAACTGTAAATAACAAAGTGACCCTTAACACAGATTCCCGTCCATCTCCTCTCTATTAGCATATAATTCTTTCCTTAGCAGCTGAAAGGCAGGCTTTTCTCTAATGCTACATTAAAAAAAGAACTCCACCATGTACAAGCAGAATGACTAAGCAACAACAGCTGCTCACTAAACTGAGGAAATGCCCACCCTGAGCTGTAGCATCCAGTGCATAAATTTTAATAAAAATTCCAGAGTAGTAAATTAATTATTTTTGCAGGAAGCTGATGAGTTCAGGGTGTTCTTGCTTTACTGATTAAAATGTCTTCATTTTAAAAGCAATATGGTTGCTTGTGAATGTCACCCTAAGTTGCAGAACTGCAGAGTTCCTTCATGAATAATGTAGTAAGGACACAGGTTATCACGTTCTTCTCCCAGTAGTAATTATAGGTTAAAGGCCATTTACAGCATCTACATTTAAATTCTCAGATAAAGTGGATTATAGAAAGTTTAGTCTTCCTTCAAATGACAACTCAATGGTCTGTGTCTTTTATCCCAGCAGATGCAAACATTTGTCTCAGTAAATAGGCTTTTGACAGCTTTGGTTTTGTGAAACTTAAGTGTCACTCCTTATATGGTTTGACTGAAAGAGATTTAAAACAGAATGCATTTCTGCAGCAGTTATGCTTATTTCTCTTCTGTAGCACTACCCTAGATAATACAAGGAAAATGGTAACAACTTCCTGGTAAGCATGTCCAGGTTCTATGCCCATTTCCAACACCACCGAACTTCCAGACAGCCAAATTACATCAAAAACCAAACATACCCAAGTGGTCCCAAATTCATTTGGCACTAGCTTAGATAGGTCAGGTATAGGCTTTCAATCCACACACAACTGAGGAGGGAGAAAAAAGATGATTCCAGAAAAAAAGCCTTCTGGATTTATTTCATTTATTAATCACATGTAGACATCCACCATGGAAAGCAGAACCCACAGCAGATATAGCTTTAAATAAAAGCTTTATGCTTAAACCTCCCTTGACATTCCAGTTGGGCTAAAGTCACACACTAGCCTGTCCAGACAATTTATAGCTCTGCAGCAACACTGAACATCATTTGCAGGTTTCCAAAGACATATGGAATTAGATGAGTTTCTAGGCACATCCTCCTAAGACTGTATTAAAAAAAAATCCACATTTCTATACAGGAGACTAATTTAATGCAGAGTTCAAATCTTATCTCTTATCACAATCAAAACCTTATTATTACAACACACCCTTGCACTTTAGGGGGTGCATAAGGAAGCCAGAAAGCCAGACTCAACCAGAAGCTGCCTCTTTGGCTAGCAAGAAATCCATGGGCCCATGCAGGAAAACACCCTGCTAGGATATTTCATCCAGATGAACTAAAGCGAACTTAACCAGCACTCTGCAGGGGGAGCAATTGCTTAGGGGGATGACTACAAATACGTTTCATACATCCTGCAATTTGTCTTTGCTTATTCCATTACACTTTAAGTTTTACAGAAAGTAGAATCTCTGCCACAGACATACAGAAAATAACTTGACACAACGCAACCTTTTCACATCCCAGGACCCTCCCTGGTAACGCGGGCACAAGTTACCACTATTGAATACAACCATCTTCTCCATGTGGACATCATTAGATTAGACACTGGACAGCAAAAGTGTAGTTGTCATAATGTATTTCTAGCCTTTGTAACTTACATGCTAAAACCTGGAAATAGATCCACTTTCTTATCTTAATTAAAAACAAAAAAAACCCCTGTTCATGCTAAATCTTAGTTCAAGACAAAATGAGTTTGAGCACTGTCTTAAACAGGGACGCTTTACTCAGTTAAGCCTCTCAGCAAGTGTAAGGCCAGTTTACTTTTTCAACACAGACACATGCACAAACATAAACACACTATATCCAAAAAGAAGAAAAAACCCCCAAACCTATTATGAAGGTCAAAACAGCCTATGCACTCCTTTTACCCAAGCCTCAGCTTATAGAAGTTTTGCCACTTAGTATTTGGAGTGGCAAGTCCTAATCACATCATTTTAAATAAAATGAAAGTGTAACTGTTCTATATCAAGGCTTGCTGAGCTGGTTTTCTTAAGTCTAGCCAAAAAGGCAGAAAGCATTTTAATGCACAGCAAGTAATGGAAGCGAAGCACAGTGATTCTAACCACTGAGCCACAAACCATACAGGGAGTCATGAGAAAAGTCACTTGGCACTAACAATCATTCTTCAAATAGAAAATTATCAAGAGTTCAGGGGTTTTTTGTTTTATTTTCTCCTCCAGGAGTAGCAGACAAAGTTACTCAGCTCTAAGATGTCACTGCCATTAAAAATGACTGATCATTGGGATGACTAATTAAGATTCGGTTAGAATGGTTCTTGACTTTCAGAAGTCAAGAATACCAGTCTTTGGCAAGCATACAGTAGTCAAAATGTTGTCTTTTGAAACACAGGGAACACTAGCAGTGGTTTCTCAAGGAAGGTGCTATAGCTCATGCTCTAAGATTTAGTCCAGATCCCCCCTGCCCTCTACAGACAGAATCATGAAGTTCATTCATAAAGGCCTAGTCAATTTTCCTAAGTTTAATTAGAGGTATCACTCTAATCACAGAAAGTAACTGTAAAAATGCAGACAGAAAACAAATCCATGATTACTGTCTTGTAGTTTGTAGGTATCAGGCATGGCTCATTTCTCCAGTAAGCCTTTGTCATTAAAAAAGTCAAAGAAATGAAGAGAAGCGAAGTATAATCTTACCGGAGTCTCAGCTTTCATCTGGGCCCGCAACTTTTCTCTCATCTCTTTTTCATTGAATTTGGCACTTCTTTTTACATAGACTCCTCCATGCTAACAGAGGAAAAAAAAAAGTATTAAATATTTAAGTAGTTTAATGTGGAATAGTTGACAGAAGAACAAACAAGACAAAAATGACAAGTCACCTTTATGACTCATGCTGCAAATTGCCCATAAGACGTTTTCTCCTAAGAAGAAAGCACCTGAAATTGATTTTACATTTGCATGTACTTAAGTTCACAAAATCTGTTTAAATAAAGATAAGATCTTAAAAAAAAAAAAAAAAAGCAAGCATAAGACACTTGAAGTATCTTGTTTAAAGGTGTTAAATAATGAACTGGAAGATGGCATTGGAACCCACCACAGGGATCTCTCTATTCCTGACAACATTGACAAGCAGTTCAACTTGTACATCAAGGGAAAATCACACAACTGAAGTTATTCACGTACAAATACTTATAGGTCAATGTTTTCAATTTTATGTGCCTGCTCTTAAATAGTGGCTAATGCAAATACTGGAATTACAAGTACCGTACCTCTACGTACAAAATTTATGAATAGCACAAAAGTAACTAGCATAGGTCTTGAAAACTTCCATGCACCTTATTAGAGAATCAAACTTTTAATAAAGAAGTTATATACTGAGATAATAATTGAATAAGTAACACAAAATCTTTAGAAGACAAAGGATTTTTACTGAAAACCATTATAAAAAGACCATTTTCTGGATAAGATTAATTTTATAGCTTGTTCCACACAATTTGTCACAAAATGTCCATAAAAGGACTATGGCAAAGTACACACAAAGAAAGAAGGTTATAAAGAAATAAAATTTGCCCCATCATTTCCTTCTCCATCACTTTGTTTTATCTACAGCGTAGCTACAAGCGGTTGTAACCAAATATGCTCCAAAATGAACTACTGATACAATGAATTCTGGGAAGGAAAAAAAAAGCTTCCAAATAACAGAATTTTATTTTTAAGGTACACTGTTTTTATGGGTTTTCTAACTGATTCCCTGACTTCTGCCCACCCTGACTCTTGGCATTAGAATTTGGCAGATAATTTCTGTCTATTTATGGTTTTACATGCTCTTAACAGAAAGGTGACAGTAAGATTAAAACTACTAAGAGATGAACCTCATTCAAATGTCTTATCTTAGGAGAAGATAGGGTACGTTGTACAAACAGGGGTGGTCGTGTATGTGCAGGGAGTTATTATTTTATTTGCATGGCATGGACAGGAATAAAGTTTGAGGGGTTTGAGGCAGGCAGAAGAGGCAGTTATGAAAAGTGCTTTCAGCCTTTGCTTTTCATAGCATGGACAGTTGGCCATGCAGCTGCTTAGCTAGTGGTATTTGACATGACTTTTAAGTTGTTCTCCAAAAGCTGCAGTGAAAAGGAACAGAAAGTCAATGGTACATTAACTCCATATTAAATATTCTGTCTTAACATTATTGTCTGTGGTTCTCTTCCAAGGTGAAGTAGCCAGCTGAAACACTCAGCTGTGCTGCTCTGGCTGGCAGGGGACCAAAACCAAGAACAGAATTCCCCAGTCCACTGAGCTTGGCCTTTAGCAGGCTGGAGCATCATATCAGCACCATCCCACAAGCAGTTTACTAGTCCTGCACAGATAATGGCATGAACAGAAAAATGTTCCACCAGCTGTGCAGCAAACAGAGCAACATTATCTACACACTCCACATTTAAGACCGTTTTAAGATCTGAGGGATCTTAAAGGGAAGTAGAAGTCTTATTCTGTACAGTGACACCACAACAACCACTTTCAGGAAGGGCAAACTCAGTTTGGTGTGAGAAATAACACATACAAGACTTCCATGTAATTGGTAAGTCATCATTCTGTGTGGACTCAGCTAGGTCAAGCTTTGATTAATGAGGGAAGGCTGGAATCAAAGTCTTCCCTTATTTGTCAAATTACTAACCAGCTGCAGTAAACTGGGAAAATACTGAACCCCCTTTTCCCTGTTTAACTTGTGAACCTGGAAAAATCAAGTTACTATTGTACGGTTTGCTTAGGGACACCACAACACCAAAGACAGGTTTGGTGTCCTCACCTCAGACTTTTTAATGCTCAGAAACAGATTTGTACTTCTCAAGTAAATACAACTATACAGCCATGTAACATAAGAACAGACAAATTACATATTCTAAGACCATCACTTGCTGCATACACCCCAATTACATAAATGTGTCAGCTCCCCTGTGGTGCAGGGTTACAAAGCTAAAGAGAGGCAAGAAGCCACACTAGCTAAATATTTGGCTAACATTCAGTAACAACCAAAAGGGTGAACAAGCTGATGCTGAATAACAGAAAAGACAAAGACATACTTCTCATGTTAAAAAGTCAAGCAAACTCTGGGATACCAAAATATTTATCAAAATTACACCCCAACCTCACCAGGTGGTATAAAATGAATAGGAGGTAGCTGCATTTTGGTGGAGAAGATAGGGCAAAAAAAAAATTCAGATCCACCCAAAAATAATAAAGCCAGTTTTATGAAAAGAAATACCTCTACCTAATAAATCAAACCTGGAACATAACAGGTTAATTTAAGTGGTTCTTTTCTTTTCTTGCTATTAGATAGCTGCCTCTGAAGAAGAATGCTAGTTATGCAATTGTATATAGCTCAAATTCCCCAATTTGTATTGCATTTCCTTTTCAGTAAGAGATCAAATATATGAACGCTTTTCAAAACAGATTTCTGGAAGTACTGTTTTTAAGGTTATAATTTTTTTCCGCTGTACTTTAAAAGCCCTCTCTCAGTCAACAATGGATTATGTTTACAAATATACTTCCTTTGTGCCTGAATTTTGCTCTCCTGGACATCCAGACCACGTTTATTTCCAAACAGGATGTTTACCTGAGGTAGGGAATATGAATTCCGTGAGCATGGCGTAATTACGCGGCTCTGGAAACTTTTAGTGGAGTGTAAGTGACATCACTGACAGAACATCAACAGGAAGGGCAGGAAGTGTTTTATGTTTTTGCACTGTTTGGTGTGATAAAAACAATAAAAATACCTATTAGCTTGCACTGCAGTCCTGCTGCATCCCGTCTCAGTCATTTAAACACACACACACACACATCACCACTGTTAGTAAGATGCCTTTCATTTGTGTCACTGAATTAAATATATATATATAAAAAAAAAATATATAATCGTCCCCCACTAAATCTTGTAGAAGTTCTATGCTTTGAGGAATTCAAAGCTGAACAGATTTTATTTAATATATATGTTTTGATTAAAAATGTAGGCTACATTCAGATTAATTTCCACAGGAACCTTCTTTTAACAGTCAATATAGCAGTCAGGAAACTGAGCACCGGATATTCCAGATAGCAATAGTAATTTTCCAAAATCTTGAAAAAAATCATTTCTGGACACCTCGTGATAGCGGATGGAATATATATCCTGTCTGTATTTTAATTAAAGCAGACTTAAATCACCACCAATGTAATGACTACAGGCAAGGACAAAGAGCAAAATATTTCCGTGAGACAGACTGGTCACTTTAGTGGAAGAAAAATGTAGAGAACCAGAGTCATTAGCGGGGACAAGCATTAGACAACAGACAAGTCCATTTTCTCCCAATGGATACCATCAGTAAGGTATGACAGGGTGTGACAGTCCATATTTATTTAGGGGACTAGGACAGCAAACCCACCAATAAAAAGAAACTGAGCAGTTTTCTTATTTTCTCAGCAGCATATTCTTTTCTAAAAATAGCGATTTTAGGAGAAAGGATGGCAACCACCCATGCTCCAGCCTAGATTTATAGCCTACTCACTAAGGCACTCATGCAGAAGACAACAAACATTTTCCACCATCAAGCCAAAAACATCGTACCTGGATCTCCCAATATCTCGGGGGACACTCTAGCCTCTTACACACTGAACAGACACTACCTGTGCTCTAAGATAAAATGGTGAGACAGTTCACACACCCGAGCAATGGGCACCTTATGTGACATGATCCAAGACTCTGAACCTCTGTTCCAATTAGGTGCCTACACCCAAGCTAGAAGGCAACATCTGATTGCTGGGAAAGGCCACTGTTTAAAGGCATTTCCTATTCTTCAGCATATTAATTAGGCAGTTCATAGATCTGTACCTCCCCTCACGCAATGCTCTCTAAACCCAATCCAACTTACATTAGCTTCTTGAAGGCAAAGTTTCAGTGTCAACGGCCACACAAGGGCTATTCTGCCTCCTCCCCTCTTCCCACCCATGGCCATACCCTCAAAACTTACCCCCTTTTGCTGGTTCTAGCAATCAACTGATCTGACTTGACTTAGGGATGCAAGAGTGCAAGCGGTCAGAGACGGAGGAATGTGCAGCCAAGGATGAGGGAGAGAGTAAAGCCTCCCATTTGGACATACGTCTGTAGTTGCCTACTCTTCATATACTCCTTTACAAACTAATATATAGTTCAAATCATACCCAGTGTAGTATTTCTCTCAATATCCCCCACCCTCTTGGACAGGGCTGATAGCCAAGTCAATCAAACTACCTAATTCCATTACAAATATTTTTCTAAGTGTTTTTTGCTTTTCTTTGCCTGGGTGGCAGAGGTGAGGGGCAGAAAGCAGACTAATGTTCAGGGAACAGGTAAAAATCAAAGACAGAAGCCAAAGGAGAAAAATCTTATAGAACAGGCATTTTGGAAGAGTTACCTAAAACTTAATCCATTTCTATTCTAACAACTAAGCACCCATCTACATCCTGAGATAAATACTGTGAAGACATTTCTGATCACCTAGCAAAACATACCAATACTTCCCAAAACATCTCCCTCCACATTTTATTTCATTTCTATAAAGAAACAGTGTTGCTTTCAGAAAAAGCAAAGAACAGACATGACAAATTCAGAGAGATTTTTAGGGCAGTAAAGCCATCGACACTGCTCTCCACCATTTTTGATTAAAGATCACATCCACTCAGTATATTAGCTGTAAAGTGACCATGGCCCACTGTTTCTTCAGTAATTGTGTAATTTTGAGTCACATCAGGTTGAGCTCTCAAACTAAAAGGAACAACAGAAGCATTATGAAGGAAGAGGGGAAAGTAAAACGTAGTAATAGGAATCCTGTTAGACTCAGGTTTTTGCTTAACTGAAGTCCAAAGCAAAACCATCAACGCTTTCATGGAGGCTGGGATCTGCTTTTCCTCCACACTATACTAAGGTCCAATTTTCCTCTTTTATATTGTGCTAAAAGCAAACAACTGAAAAATAAATAAGTACATGGCAGCAATGTCAATTTATTCCCAATTTACAGCATGATAAAAAAACCCATACATAGAAAAAAAGGTCTGTTTACACCTACTGCTAAGTGGGTTTTTGGACTGTATAAAGAACAAAGTTCTAGAATATTCTGAAATGCTTCTAACAGACTCTACAGTTTTAATTCTAGTAGTAAACACCATCCATAAGAAGTATTCATTTAGAAAAGTAAACCAATTATTTAGTAACTGTTTCTCAACTAAAACACACATCTAACTACACTGAGTGAAACCAGCTATTTTCATGTTCAAATAAACAAATGCCAGTTCAGAAGTACATCTTCCCAGCACATACAATAAACAGAAGGAAAGTACATCCTACAAATTTGACGCACAAACAGCAAGGAAAAAGTGAATGGGCTTACCTGTGAAAAATACCACCCGTAGAGTGGAAGCCATTTTAACCCATCTTTCAAGACATACCGGACATGCCCAAGAGCATTCTGCCTAATTGCCAGCATGTCCGCAATAATCCAATCAACTGCAAACACAAAAGCCCAAAACGTTTCGTTAGTTTCTAACTGCCACTCATGAAACAAAAAGTGTACATGTGTTGTACATATAAATATCATTAAAGGTTTCTGTACTAGAAGTTCTGAACTAGAATTTCTTGCTCCTTAGGTCAAGGGTGGAAAGAGACACAGTAAACAGACAAGCAAATCTACAAAAGTGCTAAGACAAACAAAAAAAATACAAACCTGTACACTGATGATTTGATAAATATATTACATTTTCTTTATTTTTTGGCAAATCCCCGTAGAGTATTACCTAAAAAAAAAAAAAAAAAGTGTTACTTAATTATTTATTTTCATTGCATTAGACAGTAATGAGATCCAATGCAGTAAATAGCTATTTACTAGGAAAACTGCCAGCAAGGTAGCACCATTAACAGAAAAACACCTCATCACTGCATCAGTACCCATCATGCATACAACTAACTTATCAACAAAGCAGTGAATATTAATTAATGAGGGCTTAAGAAAGGTATTCTATTCTTGTGCCTCAGCCCTAGAACTGGATCCATGGAAGGTGACCTACATCAACAAGATCCCTACATTAGTATAATTAAAGGTAAAGAGGAGTCATAGATGTGTACAAAACCACCACGTAAATTTATACATTTAATGAATAAGACATGCTTCGGCCAGACACTCATTATTCAATCTAAAATGGTAAGTTTTCCTGGATTACATCAAGAACAAAATCTCAACCATTTGCCATGATTTTAACCATCAAGAACGAACGAAAAAGCATGAGGCTGAGGTGTCTTCAGCTTCCAGCCAGCAGGTTTTGCTATGGTTTTTTTCTCCATTATATTAAAGACAGCTTTTACCCTTGTAGTTTCCTGCCCCTGAAAGGTTAATTGCATACTAGTGAAATAACCTTCTGAGAGCATAACTACAAAGCAAGATGCTGAAGCAGTAATCCAAGTCACCTTTTAAAATCAATTAATTCAATTACTTCTATTTCAAATATAAAATGAGAAATTAATTAAACCAATTCTGAATGGAAGAATCCATGCAGCCATTTAATTACCTTTAATAAATATTTTCATTATCTAATGAAGCTTAGTTCTTCCAATTAGTACATTCTAGGTAGCATTCCCTCCTTGGTCTGCCAAAACCAACGGCTGTACTCCTTGTTTCTAGAAGTTAGCTGTATTAAACATACACTCTTTGAAGTGACTCCATTCACCAAAACCCAAAGCACTACTTGGAATGTTTAGCCATGTATTATCACCACTTCCCTAGTCTGGACCATCTGGGAATTTTATCAGGAAGATCTAATGAATATTCAGATCTTGATTAATATCAGAAGGTCTCTACGAGCAATTCTGGAAAAGCTGCCCACCTGTGAATTAGCCTGTGATACTAGATGGGTAACACCAGGCAAAAACCCCACATAAAGCTGTATGTTTTAAATTCATGCTGTTCCTTCTTTGAAAATGCAGCTGCACTGTTGATCAAATTTTGTTTTCAAGGCAAGAAACCAGATATTGGCAAACTGAGATATTCAATAAATATGTGAACAAGAGGTCATCCACCATACAGTAAAGAGAACATTACTTATTTGAATTTTTTTTTCAAAAAAAAAAAAAAGGCATGCACAATAAATTTTAACTGAACTTTATTTGTAAGAAGTCAGTTGACAAGTATATTCTGAACAGTATCCAAGAAATTCAAACAAGATTTTGCTGTAGGAGTAATTTTCTCATTAAAGTTCCAGGAGAATTTATAACCTTACTGCTGACACTCTAGGTACCACACACTATTTAGTGCAAGGTAGCAGTCAGAGGGTCTGATCTTACAGTTCAGGTGCAAAAATGACACTGAAATAAAAAATTATCTTGATATTCTCACTTATGGAGTTAGAGCTTCATTTTTCAAGTGTACACTTTTCCAGCAGTGTTACACACTAGGTCCATAAATACCATTTTCTTTAATTTCAAGTTAAGACTCCACTATGCAGTTTCTGACAAAGACTGTTTTAGAGGAAGGGAAAAGGCCCAATACAACATATCTCTAAACCAGAAGGTCCTGAATGTTATCTCTGCTTTTGTAAAATGTAAGAAAATAAGAACAAGAGGAAAACAAAATCTGCCCTTGACACTATGAGAGCTGCCCCACACAAGAAACAGGATTTGAAATACACAATTTATAATTTCAACTTGTAAAAATTTCCACTTTAATGTACAAAGTCTAAATCTCAGTGTAATCAGACCCACAATTCAAAGTATTCACTTGTGAATATTGCATGAGTAAAAACAAATATACAAGATCATTCCCTTAAAAACACACATATGATTGTGTCTGCCAAATGTAACAGTTAATCTGTATTATTTTTTATTTCAGTAAGATTGGATCTAGTTCACTTTTTAATCCCAGAGGGACACCCGCTCATCGGTACTGTAAGCAATTCCTATGTACAATATTATGTCTTACGATAACAGTTACATATGTTTACATGTAATGGACCAAAATTTTTTACTTATGATAAAACACACAGCTATACTGTTGTACAGAACTAAAAATATATATATATCTCTTTTCCTATTTATAGTTAGTTCTCATTAAACACAGCAAAATTGGATATTTTATTTCAAAGCAAAGGAAGGAGTGAGAAAATCCGGAAACTCTATTTTGTTTGCTCAGATGGCTCAGCCTAAGAGGATGCAACAGCTTTAGGTGCAACATCATTCACTTCAGCACTGACCATTTCAGTAATCTCGAGAAAAGGCTTATACAGTTCATGAAAGGCCAGCGAATAGCTACTCACCTATCAGACATTCACAGCCAGGAACTGAGAGCTACAAACTTATGATACTGTTACTACAAGCAGGTAAGAACGGCAACTTCCAACCTGCATTCTCTAGAGGCTTCTTCAGATTTCACAGGAGACACCTACTCTGTGGGCAGCCACCCAGCTCTCCTTCCGAGAATGAAGTGTTTTTGCTTTATTGCTGTGTTTCTGGAAATTCTCACAGACCTTACACAACAGAGGGCTAACAGTTAAGAGCTTTGAATCCTGCAGAAACCTTGCCCTTTTCCCTTTGAGATGATGTCTGAAGAATTCACGGGCCTGTGGATAAGCAGGGGAAGAGTCCCCCCAGGGCAAGCCTTCAATTTCTGGCAATCTGACAGGTTTAGGTGAACCACAGCACCTAATGTACATTATAGCTGCAGAGGGAAATGATAGGGAGTACTCTTCCTCGTGGTCTCCAGAAAACCTCTAACTCCTTGCTGGTTTTAGTAGCTAACTGCAGAATTCCCTGCTGCAGAGACTGGGCAGCCTCTGGCTCCTTCTCGGTCTGCTGGTGCAGAAGAGATCTGGGGACCACAGCGAAGGCAAGCACTTGAGTGATTTCACCAGGGACAGCAATTCAGGAGCAAGTGACCACAGTGCCAGGTTGGGTGCACGTCCCTTCTGAAGCAACCCGAAGAGATGAGAGCAGCCATGAGACTCCTAGTCCTCCCCAGAAGAACGGTGCCGATCCCAGGGTCTGCAGAGCACCAGAGGGGTGGTCTCCCCCTCTGCAGGGCACTCACCAGCCAGCACCAGGGAGCAGGGCAGGACATGCTCGGGAGGCAATTTCCAGTTTCAGAAGCTAACGTACCCAGTGTTTCACGTATTTTATGCACAGCTCTCCAAATGCCACAGTATACGTACATTCTACCTACGTATCAGGTTGAGAGACTGAGAAGATGAATGTCCTGTCTGCCACAATGAAGCAAGTGAGGAACCTATTCATTTGAATAGGTGCTGCTTTGTTAAAAAAATAAAAGGCACAATGAAGTCAAGCAAAGAAAACAAGTTAAAAGGAAGAGCACCACAGCAAGCCAAAGTAAGCAGAGATTTGAGGGAAAGTATTTAAAATGCAGATTTACAGTCTAACATTGCACACATTACTTGGGTACAGAACATTAAAACGTGTGCTTTTAGCCATGTTTTGGTTGCTTCATAGCCCAGTTCACCAGAACGGGTAATACAGTTACTGTTAATATGGGTCTTTCACATCTGTTTACATAGCAGTGCTGCAAACTCAATTCAGTGAGGTCTCAAATAAAGGAGACTGGAGGCTGTTAGATTCCCTTCTGTGGGAAGACTGGTACCCAGCTTCCCTGGATGCCACACACCAAGCCGTTCACACACTCAGCGGGCACAGGACACAACTCAGAGTGTCCTGGCCAGAGAAAGCTCTGATTCACTGGCAGAAGGTTACAGCAAGTTCTCCTGATGGGAGAAGTTGCTAATTCAGTGACAGGCTGATCTAGGCATGCAAATGGAAACTCTTTGGTGATCTGGTGACACCGGTTTCAGCTTCCCTAGCAGCCTCTGCTGCTTCCCGTGCAACACATTCAGCTGTGCTCATGTGGTAGGTCACGTAGCAATGTAAAACAGTCCTGCACCGCAGCCACACCGGACTAACTCATAATTTGCATAGGTTTTCACTGCAACAAGGTGGATGCTCTCAATTTACAGTTTTATTTCTTGCTTATGAAACCTGTATGTACCAAAGAAAATTAAATAGATAATTTAATCACATCCTAGCTACATCAGCTCAGTAAACAGGGCCATGACAAAAATAACTCAAGAGGTAAAAGTAATCATGCTATCAGAAGACCTGCTTGCAGGTCAACCGGTGATCACATCGTAACTCCTAGCAAAGAGGCTACCTTAATATGATAACTGGATGTGGCTGATAATGGGACCAGTTCAGGAGCTGACCTGCAAGCAGATGTGGCACTTCTGCTCCAGTGGCACTAAGGCAACACAGCTGGTTATTGGTGGTAAAAACACAGCCCGTCTCATCTGATGTCCTATCACATGTCTACCAGCACACTCACTCTGGGTTCCTGAGACTTCTTAAGCCTCCTCCCTTCTCTATTCAAAGAAACTAGGTGTGAATTGCAGCTTGATACTCCCTTCTTTGCTGTTACTTCAGCAAAACTGATGTGCACTGGGGCACTTTGCCGAGAAGGTGAAGCATTCCGATCAGGAAAAATGTCAGCTTCAAGCTTAGACCATAGCAACTGGAAAGAAGGATAAAAGCAGGAGAACATTCCTTCCCTCTCCTGGAAGAAGGCAGGAGAAACAGAACAACCAAGCAAACTTCATATACTCAGCTGTGCTATCCTCACAACATGCACTTCTCTCCATTTCGCCATTTCTTCCTCACTACTTTTATAACTTGGACTGCATGCTCTTTCGGACAAGAGCATCATTATTAGCTGGGCACTACTACAACGTTGAGTGCTTGTTAAAATAAA